GTCCAATTCCACCCTCCTTCTAGGATATTAAAAAAATAATATTTTTTATGATTATTTCTCTCTTGCAGGGACATGGGTGACTTTTGGAGGACAGATAACAGATGAGGTGAGCTTTTGTTCCTGGTTTCATTTTTAAGCAATCTTTTCCAGGCATGTAGGGCCGAAGCAGGGCTAAAATGGCGTTTTTTCTTGCACCAGCACCCCCTTTTCCCTCCGGCCAGAAATCTGAATTTACAGCTTTGCAGAGGGTTGTAAAACTCAAGCAGGACGTGCATTAAACTAAGGTGCTTCCTGAGGTCTGTGTATTTGCTTTAAAAAAGAGATGCTGCTGAAACTCAGTTTAATAATAATAATAATAATAATTTAACACCATCAAACAACATTTGCCCATCCCAGGTCCTTGGGAGGAACTCAATAGGCGAATAAAAATGCCAGATCCGGTCTCAACATCTGGCTGATGGTGTGACCAACCATAATTTATTAAATTTATATTCTGACTGATCCCCAGCCACTTGGGGTGGTTCCCAGTTGTGTAATAATTGTAAGTTAAATAAATTTAAGCTTCTAAATAATTTGTGTAGAAAACTGGAAGCAAAAGCCAATGATTGATTGATTGATTGATTGATTGATTGATTGATTGATTGATTGATTGATTGATTGATTGATTGATTGATTGATTGATTGATTGATTGATTGATTGATTGATTGATTGATTGATTGATTGATTGATTGATTGATTGATTGATTGATTGATTGATTGATTGATTGATTGATTGATTGATTGATTGATTGATTGATTGATTGATTGATTGATTGATTGATTGATTGATTGATTGATTGATTGATTGATTGATTGATTGATTGATTGATTGATTGATTGATTGATTGATAGATAATTAAATTTGTATGATGATGATGGCTATAAATATTACCACCCGCTCTTCTTGCTCAACCCAAATTCTTCCCCAGCTCCAATGATCCCCCCTCCCCCCCGTTTTCCCAAGCTTGATTTTGCCTGGCCTTGAATTCGAATTGTGACTTCTAGCCAACACTTTTGATTTGGGGCAAACTCCAGTAATGCTGCCCCAGCCGAACACTTCCAAACAATGGTTTGGAATCAAAATTCAAATAACTTAGGATTGTGTTTCTCAATCTCGGCAACTTTAAGACAGATGGACTTCAACTCCCAGAATTCCCCAGCCAGCGTGGGTGGCTGGGGAATTATGGGAGTTGAAGTTCATCCATCTTAAAAGTTGCTGAGATTGAAAGACATTGATTTAGGACATCAAGATCTTGCCTCCCTCTATGGAGTTGCAGGTGGGCAGTATGGGGGTGTTCCCGTTTTAAAGGGAAAAAAAAAATCTTGCAACTCCAGCCCTGCAAAGTAGGCCAGCCTGAGACCGAGAGAAAACGCATGCCAGGTGCAGCGTCATCCGGAGAGCTTCGTGATGGAGCAGGGAGAGTTTAATTTTTAAAAAATAAAAAAGTATGGAAAGTTTAATGGGGGAGTGGGCACCTTTAAAGACGGGACGGGCAATCGTCACAGCGGCGCCTCTCTTGCAGATGGCCGAGCAGCTGATGACGCTAGCCTACGACAACGGCATCAACCTTTTCGACACGGCGGAGGTCTATGCCGCAGGGAAGTAAGTGTGCCACGCCGGTCCCGGCCAGAGCTCCTGGGTTGGGCTGCTTACAACGACCCTGTGCGGTAGGCCCGTAGGAAAGGGGCGGAAGAGAAGAACCGGATGTTTCTAAAGGGGCTTCTGCCCATGTGGGACCGCTGGACTTTGGCCTATTCCGAATTCCTCCAGATGCAAAAAACGCTTCCGTCGTTTACGGCCTCTTTGCAGAGGAGGTTGGCCGCTGCACCCCTGCGTGATTTCCTGCTCTGATATACCTTGTCTTCTTCTTCCCAAACAGTCCGGCCCGTTGCCCCTCTCTGCAAGGATGGGGGGGAGATTATTCTCTGCCCCTTGGCTGATCCAACCCATTTTGACCAAGATGGTGTGTAAAAGATTTCCCCCCGTCCTCTTGTATCTAATGTGCCGGAAATGTTTTCTAAATGAAATGCATTCATGTTAATTATAATAATTCACATTAACGACATCTTAGTATTAGGCATAATCATATAATTATAACTATATAATATAGTTCACGTTAAGGACATCCTAGTATTATGCATAATTAAATATTTAATGGCTGTTTTCGCTCAATGGACAGTGGAGAAAGCAAGAGACTTGCGCCTCTAATTAGGAGCACAAAGTCAGTAATTCTTTTCAGCGACTCACATCCCCCCAGGAGCCCCTGAAGATCTTATTTATTTATATTTATTTACTTATTTAAATTTATCGGCTGCTCGACTCCAATGGACTCCGGGCAGCATATGAAACTAGAAAAGAAAAACCCACCAGAACAGCTTAAAAGCCATACTTTGTGATTCTTTTTTCCTATCCCAAGAACTTGCTATTGGCATTCTGCAAGGAATCTGTTCGGTCGACTGATGTGTCTCTGCGTGAGTCAGCGTTCTCCTCCTAAATGCGGACGCTTCTTTTGGAGGCGCTCCTGATGCAGAGTCACACGTGAAAGTGGTTAAGCCCGACTGATGCAGGTCCTAATTCTTCAACCCTTTTTTTTTTTTAGAGTGTGAGCAAAGCAAGTCTGCTTGTAGGAGAGTTCCCTACAGTGCCTTTTATGAGTTCCTGTTCATGGCCTGCCTGTTCTTTTTTCTATATTTCACAGAGCTGAAGTCGTCTTGGGCAACATTATCAAAAAAAAGGGATGGAGGTAACAACTCTTCCTTCGACCAGATTCCGTTTTTATCTCACTGTGTGGTTGGGCGTTAATGTTTTCCGGTCTGTCTCCTTTCAGGAGGTCATGTGGACTAGAATCTTGATAAAAGAGGCTAAACCAAGACTAAAATATGTACTTAGACCACCAGATCAGCGTTTCTGAACTTTAAGTTGGGTGGGCTTCAACTCCCAGAATTCCCCAGCCAGCATTCTGGGAGTTGAATCCATACATGCTGGCTGCGGAATTCTGGGAGTTGAAGTCCACCCATCTTAAAGTCGCCCAGGTTGAGAAACGCTGATGTAGATCATTATGGTTTGGGCCACCAAAGCAAGAAGGTCGCAGGGACATTTTTGGGGTGCATTGACACATTTGGACAAAAGAGATTTTTCACTAAATAAATAGGGATAAATAGGTATGATTCTAATAAAACGAGATCTCAGCCAAAGAGCTGCAAAGCGGGAGGAGATTCAGAGATTGGCAGGGTTTGGCAGTGGGATGTAGGGGTGGAAAAACAGCCCTGCAGAGTGGACCTGTCTCATCCCCAAACCAAGCGTCCACGCTGGTTTATCTCCAGAAGCAAGGAGCTTGGCCAAGGTCCTCCCAGGGCCCCCGTCACCGGGTGGGCCCGTCCAGATCCCTCCACCCTGTGGGAAAATAACCCCTGGAGTTACATTCACACAATACAATCAACCCTGCCTGATCCCAGGAAAAATGCAGCTTTTTCAAAGAGCCGCAACTCTTTAACCAACTGATGCGAAACTGAGCCGTGCACATTTCTGCGGTTCTGATTGGATTTTCCCAGGGCCACGTGCAGGCTCACCCACGTTTTCATGACACAGCCGTGCATGTTCACAGGTGGGCATCCGTGTGCACATCTGCACGGGCCCAGGTGGGGTGGGGGTGAAAGTGTTGGGCCAGGGCAGAAGAGACCCAGGTTCAAGTCCACGTTGTTGGGAAAGTTGGAGGAGATGTAGAAGGTATTGAATGAATGAATGAATGAATGAATGAATGAATGAATGAATGAATGAATGAATGAATAGAATAAGTAAACAAGATAGCTTTGGGGCCGTGCATCAGTTTCTGACCATATTCACGCTTAGAATAATTTAAATACTCATTTAAAGCATGCCTGGGTTTTATATTATTTTTTTTTTAATGTGCCAGAAGAAATTGCATGGAGTTGGATGTGAGATAGGAGCACTGAGTGTGTTTCATCGACATCCCTCTCTTTTTCCTTGCAGACGGTCCAGCTTGGTGATCACCACCAAAATCTTCTGGGGCGGAAAGTACGTCTGATTTTCATTTACTGTTTTATTGATTTAAATGTATTATAGCCGCCCACTCCCGCCGCCTCTTCCTGGCCGTCGTACCAGGATGAAAAGCCCCGCAAATGTTTTCAGAGACGGGGACTGATCTCTAGAGCCGTAGGACGCCGTTTTTGCAGCTACGGGGAGAGAAGCGAACCTCTGGGCGTGGAAAGAGGGCCATGTCCTCGTTTTGACTCGAGATAAGACACTGTGTAATTTTAGTATTAATTGGATTGGGGTGGGATTTTTTGCAGGACATAGAAAAATGAAACTGTTGTGTGGGTCAGATGATTAGAACTAATAGGGGTAAACAGAAATAATGGAAGTTAAGTTGTCAATTTACAGCAAGAGTTTGATGTATATTTGTTGCGGGGTGGGTCGGAAGTCAATTCTTTTTTTTTTTTTTTTGGTTTTTGCTCTTTTTCTTTTCTGCACTTTCGCTTTTTACTATTTTTTCTCCAATTCCTTCTTTTTTTGCTTGCTTGCTTTCTTAATATTAGTTTTGGTTAGGGTTTACTGTTCTTCTCAAATAATAAAGTTATTATTTAAAAAAAAGGGGCCACGTCCTCCTGGGCTCTCCCCAGCCAGTTTCTTTCCTTCTAAGATGCAAAAGCGGAGGGTTTGTCGTACGCAACGAGTGTCGCTTCATCTTTGCCTTGCTCCTTTTCCCCAGAGCCGAGACAGAAAGAGGCCTTTCCAGAAAGCACATCATAGAAGGTAAATTTGGCTCCAAACCAAATCTCACAGCCGGGTTTCAGAATTCCTTCCGTTCTCCGTCCCCTGAAAAAAAAAATCCTCCTCCTCCTAATCTGAAAATGCGTTACGGACCCCTGGGAACGCCGGGTGGTCCAACCCGGCAACCTCCCAGCCCGCCATTCTCCGGATTTCGAAAGGTTTGCCGAAAATAAAAGGGAAGGGTCCGCCCTGAATTCCAGGAAAAGTATTCCTTGGGGAAGCCTACGGCGGGGGATCGCAGCAAAATCCGGGTGCCGCAGCCAGCATCCCAAACCAAAATTCACACTGGGACGCCTGATGCTGAAAAACGCATTTGTTTCGATTTTCACCCTCTTAATTTGGCTACTGATGCAGCTCCTCTCTTTTATGAGCTTAGCTGGGGGGAAAAAATCAGTGCAAATATCGGTATGCATTGGAGGGGGGAAAGGTTCATTTTTGTAGCGTGTATGCAGGTAGTCCTTGTTTAGTGACTGTAATTGGTTCCAGTGACTCAGTCATTAAATGAAATAGTCACTAAGGAAACACATGATAGAGAGAGAGGGAGACTCTGCGAAGACCACTGGTTGCTGCCATCTCATTCAGATAAAGTTCTCTCATATAGTTAACAAGTTCAGCTCTGTGACCTTAATTAGTTGATTAGAACCCTCCCGCCAGCTCCCACTGCTGCCTGAAACTGACCAGACTTTAAACAGTTTCACATTGAAGGTCGGAAAATGAATTTTTTATTACCATTTACTACCTTCGTTTTTACGAACGGTTGCTATCCAAGGCAGTTGTTAAATGAGGACCACCTGTAGTTTGGGACAAGTCTTCCCATTGGAAAAAGGCACACTCTACTTCTATTCCAGCGTTTGGGGGCACTACAGGTGGTCCTCGTTTAACAGCCATTTGTTCAGGGACCGTTTGAACTTACGACAGCACTGAACGAGGGGCAGTTGTGACCACTCCTCCACGTTCTGGCCATCGCAGCACCCCTACAGCCACGCGATTGCAATCTGGGCACTTGACAACCAGCCCAGATTTCCCACCGTCGCAGCGTCCTGCAGTCATGGGATCGTGATTTGCTATGTTCCCCGCCTGCTTCCCAAAGTCGACAGGGAAGCCAGCAGGAAGTCAGGCGTCACGATCACGTGAGGTCCTCGCTTAATGACCCACGCCGTCCTCGCTTCACGACGGTAACCCAGGATTGCCATCGCTAAGCAGCGTGGTCACGTAACATTGTGCTCTACAACCGCATTGCGTAGTGATGGAAATTCTGATCGTTAGCAAGAACTACCTGCATTTAATAAAAGGCGTCATTAACTGCAATGTGAAATGCCAACGTCCCCAATTATTCCTTGTGTTTAGCAGCTCGGAGGTTGAGGTACAAGCTAAAAATTGGCTGGCAGAATTTCTGAACAGTTTCATGATTTCCTGTTCAAAAGAGAAACAGTTACCAAAGAAGTTCTGATAATCTTATGCCTGGCATTTTATTGCAAATAAAAATGATGTCTCCCCGCTTCCTCCCCAGGTTTAAAGGGGTCACTAGAACGGTTGCAACTGAATTACGTGGACGTCGTGTTTGCCAATCGACCGGATCCTAACACGCCCATGGAAGGTAAATGTAACTGCCCCATCTTGCTTTTTCACTCGAGTTTCTAGAGAACAGGAGCATTCGGATTTCCCCATGAAGTTTGAAGAGGCCCTTAAAAAATTAAATACATGCAGCCTTTCGATTCTTGCATTTTAAAAGGTTCATCGGCCCCTTCTCGGCCATATCAATTCTATCCATCCATCCTTTGTTCCTTATGCGAGTCGCTGTTCGCGTGGATCCGAAGGAAGTGAGGGTAAGGACTCACTCAGGGACACAGCAGGCAGCCTCGTCTACAGGCAGGTACGATGCAGGCACCAGGCTGAGCTACCTGCTCCGGAGATGGGAGAGGCAGCCTTCTCTAACGGCAGGCCGCATTGGCTCATCCAACATAAGGGATGACGTGATGCCATGACGAAAAGGATGAGAGTCTGATTGGAAGGTTGGCCAACCAGAACAAAGACTCATGCAGAGATGCCACGGGTGACCTCCTACATAAGCGGCGGGTTGAATTCAGGTGTTTTTCACAGGATGATCAGTGGGATCTGTGTTAGCTGGTGCCAGTTCCTCTCCAAACAGCACCTCTACCCAGATAGATGCCAGCCTGAATCTTTTCCTTATTTCCACCTATACTTTATCCTTGCTCTTCTCTCCTGTAGTGCAAATTTCAACCCCTCGTCTTTCCCCTGCAGGCCCCCGAGTTTGACCTCTTTTCCATTTCTCTTTAGCGTGTGCACGCTGGATTTCGAAAGCTATTCGTTTGCACTCCTGGTCTTTAAAAAAGACTTTTTTATTTCCCATCACAAAGGGGTGCTGCAACGACCACCCCCAAAGAAAGAAACGGATAATTTTGTGCCATTTGCTGAGTCTGCAGCAAGGCCCTTGCTTGCTGGCCAGAAACCTGCATCTTCCAAATTATAATTTTTTCCAAGTTATAATTATGATTTAGAATTATAAATTACCATTAAACGTTATTGCTTTCATGTTTAAATTAGATTATTTAAATTAAAACGAATGATTTACTTCGGTGTTTCTTTCTTCAAACGTGGACAGGGCCCCTTTGAAACACAAGAGATTTCCAATTTGTAAACCGTTGCTAACAAATGTTCATTTTCCGCTTTGGAGCTGGAGGTCCAAAGGCTGACCTTGAAACTGTGAATTAAGTTATCCGCCAAGCTGCCGCGTTAATTTTTTCTTTTCTTCTGCCACTCCAAAAGTATTCCTAGTCTCCCCGCGAGTTGCCCGCTCCTGTCACCACCTCATTTCATGCCTAATCAGCTAACCCTGGCTAAAGTTAAACATGGTTTAGGTTTTGTTTTCTAGCTCAGCAGGTCTTGCGAACCCAGCGTTCTCGGTGGCTTTACCGTTCGTTGCATTGTGCAAACACTGAAAGGGGGTTAATTCAGCCCCCCTGTTTGGGGAACCCTTTTGGGCATCCAAAACCCGCCTGCTATTTCATCAGTCCGGTTTTGACCCTTCCCACAAAGCTCAACAGGTATTCCCCGTGGAGAAGGTCCAGGTGTGGGGACAGTGAAGCTTCGTGACCAACTTTGCCCAACGTCCTTAAGCCAGCCAGCAGGAGGCAGAGGCTAAACGAAACAGGCAAAGTTTGGGTTAACTCGGTTTAGGTGTTCTGCTGGCTTAAGAAGTTGTGTGAATCCGTCCCTTGAGTCTTGCAAGCAGAACCTTAAGGGGTTCGTCCCATTGCCAAGTCAAACACAGCGCAATGGGAGTTCTCAGCAGGAGAAGGACGGGATTGTTCGGCCTCTTGGCCACGTAGTAGACCGGTCCCACCTCTCGAGGGAGATGCAACCATCCCTCCTTGAGAAATAGGGTATGAATGAGGGGAGTGGGCTGCTTCTCTCCCCCTCCCTAGAAAAGCAGGTCAAAGGGTTACAGCTCTAAACTCTTGCCTCTCTTAAATCTGTTTTTTATCACCAGGAAACCCATTTAGTTGTTCCAAGTCACGAACATTCATCATAGAAGGTACCCATCGTCTTGATTACCTGCATCCAAGAGGCATTTTATGGAACAGAAATCCAGGCCTCTTTCTTTCTTTCTTTCTTTCTTTCTTTCTTTCTTTCTTTCTTTCTTTCTTTCTTTTCTTCCCCTTCCCCTTCCCCTTCCCCTTCCCCCCTCTCTCTCCTGCCTTCCTTCCTTCCTCCCTCCCTCCCTTCCTTCTTTCATCTCCCTTTCCTTCCCTCCCTCCCTCCCTTCCTTCTTCCTTTTTCTTTCTCTCTCTCTCTCTCCCCCCCTTCCTTCCTTCCTGTCCTGTCCATCCCTCCCCTCCCTCCCTTCCTTCCTTCTTCCTTCTTCTTTCTCTCTCTCTCTCTCCCCCCCTTCCTTCCTTCCTGT